AGGCCTTCTTTTGAACTCTGACGATACCAGATACACAAAGTGATACACAGACACACAGGGAACATATCTATAAAAATATTAAAAACAATTTGCATTATTTAATTCTGAATTTATTTCTTTGTCATTCTTCTGGGTTATCCTTTTCTTCTGTGCAGCCTCCTCTTCTGGCATTGGAACAGCTTGTTCCTCTTCAGTGAGGTTCATCTTAGTGTGGCGGGGGAGCTCACCTATGGGTTAACCCTGCTATTATCTCTGTAAGTTCAATGGTATATCTTGGGTGCTTTGTTCACTTGGGTATGTTCCATAACTAGAGGACTTACTTTCAACCCCTCTTTGGGGGGGGCATAGACACTCTGCCATCTCCACTGTTTGCTCAGGGCATACTCTTACACTCTATCATCATACAGCAGGAATGATACCCATTACCTCTTTAAAGTGATATCATATATATACCCTTGGCAGCCTTGGCAATTTCACAGATATTATTAAAATAAATATGAAGATGTGAACATTTTGATATGCATGATTTTAGAGGCTTTCTGGGTTTAGAGAATAGGTCACCTCAGGCTGCTTCTTGAGGAATCTTGATCACACATATGTCTTTTGCATATCCTTGCCTTAGAAATACAGCCATGTTAAATTTGACACTAGTATAATTTGCCATTCACAGCTCTGGAAGTCTTCATAGGACAACAACTCCTCCAACTAAGATCTATTGTACATATTGAGCATAAAATGGGGAACAAGGCTGGCTAGGTAGAGTGCTGGTTCCAAGGTAATGTGACAAGTACCAGAAGATGGACCACTATCTACCTTGGGTCTTGTTCCTGAAAGAGAGCCCTGTGTCACAGTAAGAGCATGTCCCAACATACCACCCAGCCTCTGGGCTCTTGTGCCTTTAAAAGTGTTTTATTTGGGTGGGCATAGTAGTGCATGCTTTTCTCCCAGCACTCAGGAAGTGGAGACAGGTGGGTCATTGTGAGCTTGAGGTCTAGGTTACATAGCAAGTTCTAAACCAGCCAGGGATACATAGTGAGACCCTGTCTTGGTCACTGTTTTGTTGCTATGAAAAGACACCATGACTAAGGCAACTCTTACAAAAGAAAGCATTTAATTGGGGGCATACTTACAGTTTCAGAGGGTTAGTCCATCAACATCACGGTGGGAAGCATGGCAGCAGGCATGGCAGGCATAGTGCTGGAGAAGTAGTTGAAAACTACATCCTGATCCATAGGCAGAGTGAGAAAGATAAAGACATTGGGCCTGGCATAGGCTTTTGAAACTTCAGCGTCCTCCAGTGACATACTTCTTCCATCAAGTCCACACCTCCTAATCCAGGTTTTTTATTTTTTGTTTTGTTTTTGTTTTTGTTTTTGTTTTTTTTAAATAAAGCTGTTGGCCTCTTACTAGCATTTCTTATTGGCTAGCTCTGTCCTAAATATTAACCCACTTCTATCAATCTAAGTGTTTCCACATGGCCTTGGCTTACTGGGAATGCCAGCCCTGCATCTCCTTTGCCTGCTACATCTCTGCAGAGAAGAGAGTGATTTCCTGTTTGTCCATGCTTATATTCTGATTCTGTCCAGCTATGTCACTTCCTGCCTCTCTGTACAGACCTCCCGACCTCTATGGTTAGCTAGTGGCAGTATCTGCTATGCTATGTCACTTCCTGACTGGCCAGTCAGGGTTTTATTCATCAACCAGTAAGACAAACATATATACAGAAGAACATTCCCCATCATCTCCTCTTTTCTGTCTAAATAAGAGCTTCCTAATCTTTTTTAAATAGTGCCTTTCCCTGATGACTAAGCACTCAAATATATGAGCCTCAGGGGGCAATTCTTATTCAAATCCCCACAGACTGTGTACTTTAAAATATGTTTTGTTTGTACCTTCTTAAATGTGAATTGGCCCAAGGTCTGGTCTGAAGGTGTGTGTTTATCTCATATCTCTTATATCCCAGGTTGGCCTCCTACTTTCTGTGTAATTGAAGATTACCTCAAATTGCTCATATTTTTGCATCTACCTCCCATGTTGTGGGGTTACAAATGTGTGCCACAGTATTACTTTTCTGTTGTTGTGATAACATATTCTGAGCAAAAGCAACTTAGAGAAGAAAGGGTTTATTTTGGCTTACAGTCCCCACAATGGAGCAGAGGGCATGGTAGAACACAGGAATGGTGGCAGGAAGCTGTCTAATCTCATTTTCATTCACCCAGGAAGCAGATAGAGAAGAGAAAGTGGATGTATAAATACGCAAAATCCACCCTCAGTGATGTACTTCCTTTAGCACTTCCTAAAGGTTCATTCCATAGCCCTTGCAAACAGTGCAAACAACTGGGTACCAGATGCTTAAATACATGATACTGTGGGGGACATTTCTTGTTCCAACCACAACAAAAATACTCATGCCTAGTTTCACGAGGACTGAACCCAGCGGCTTGTACATTGTTGACAAGCACAATACCAACTTAGCTACCTCCCTAGCCAAAGAGTTTTGCATGAAAATTGTTGCTCATTTTCATTAAGTAATAGGAGATCACTGAACCCCTCCACACTTTTATTACTATTTACAATGTTAATGTTTTTTAATGGGTTTTCATTCATAGTAGTTATTTGGACATGTAGGATATCTATAAAAAGCAATGAGACACCTTTTAACAGAAAACTCGAAGGATTTACTAGAAAAACAATAATGGGGAGAACTAGTCAGTTTCCCACAGTTCATCTGTCTGCATAGCCCAGCACACGATCTTCAGATGTCACTAACAGAAATGGCTTCCAGCCCCATTCTTCGTTCCCAGGACTACATGGTGTGGGATAGCATTACTGTGCAGACATTCCCAGCTCACCTTGTGGGAACACGCAGCAAGTTCATGTAGAGGTATGATAAAACAGGCATATTTCTCACAGGTAGCTACAAGGCACAAGTGAGTTAAATCTAAGACCATTTATGAGCTGGTCCCCTAAAGCTTCCTAGGGCACACGGAATCTGCACAGCATCTGCTTCACTTCTATCAAAGCTGAACCCACCTCTCCAAAGGCTGCTGTCTTCAGGTTGTATGCCTCCAGGGCTGTAGGATTTACCAGGCAAAAACTGAAATGGCCTCCTGATTTGAATGGAGTGGAAGAAAGTTTGGGCTGTCCAGAGTAGTTCCTCCCTAATTGAAATGGGACAGTCCCAAGGAAGGGCCAGAACAATGTCTAGGCTATTTGGGACAGGCCATGCTTTGTCAGCCGATTCTAAAATTACTCTAAAGAAGCATAGGTAAGACAGGAGGAAGAACTAGGTAGGTTAAATGTCACCCAGAGAGTTATCCTGCACATGGGTTAGGATAAGGTTGTCTATTTCTAAAACTACGCATCTCTCCCCAAAAAGTTTAGGAAGACATTTTTCTTTATTGAATTCAAATGATAGTTATCTTAGTTTCTAAATGGAATTGGCTTTCAGAGCTCCTTCTGTAAAGAAATTAACTTGCACAATTCAAGCTTGTTTCCTGAAAATGAATTCAGTAGTTAACTTGAAAATAAATGTCTTATTCCAATTGAAGGAGATTTACATTCATTTATCAATCATAATAAAATGAAATCTACATCTGTGTGTTAAAAAAAAAATGGGACATCTTCCCGGAAGATATGCTTTTTGCTCTAAAGTGACAGTTACATGCAGTGCATGTTGCAGCCACTAAAGCTGTGATGTTTTCCAAATGTCAACAATTTGAAGTACAAATCCTAGTCACAGGGATCTGTACAACTGGTGAATCACGTGGCTGTGATCATCAGTGCCATCCAGAGGTGTTTGTAGTTTGGAGATACTTGTCTCACAAAACGTTAAGATTTATGCAAGGGCTAGGCATGTAGCACATAGCCTTAATCCCAGCACCTAGGATATAGAAACAGGTGGATCAAGAGTTCAAAGTTATGCTCGGCTATCTAGGGGATTTGTGACTACATGAGACTCTTTTGGCAAGAAATGAAATAAAATAATCAAAAGAATCATACAAGTGAAGAAAGCTAGTCTAGCATACTGGGGTAGATGTGAAATACATGTGATGGGAATGTCACACTGTTATGCCAGGTTCGTGGAGCCCCAAACGGACTTCCACTAGAAGCCAACTCTCCCGATGCAAAAACAAAGGTTTCTATATTTTCAAGCTGGCCAGCCAGGATCACACTCCACCAGGAGGAAGTGAGATCCCAACCAGCAATTAAGGGGAGCTTTTAAAGAGAAAGACCACAAGGCTGAAGGCCACAAATTACAAAGTTTCCATTGTCACTCAAGTACAAACTAAAGCAAAAACTACATATTTTAGAAAGATACATTTGAGCAACATAGGGTAGGGCTGGGGCATGAGAGTCATGAGTTTGCTAATTATCCCAGAGGTGGTGGGGTGGTGGTGGGGTGTTCCGATAGCTCAAGTTGGCCTTGAACTTTATTCTTTCTCTTCCCTCCCTTGGTAAAGACCGTTTTCCTTCTAAGTTAAATTCAATCGCCATCGCAATTAATTGCCTTCATCTGCACCTTATAACCCAAGTATCAGTCCCTCTCAGTGTCCCAGGAGTCAACAAACCATTTGATAAATGGCTCCACCTTTGCAGCAGGAGGCATCCTGAGTGACAAGGAGGAGGCCGAGTCTTAAACTCTGCCTGAGGCGTTGATAGGTGGAGCCGTGGAAAGAGGAGAGACCCGGAGGCGTTTCCGAGGGACCAAGCTGGAAATTAGATTTGTGAGGGAAAGGGGGCGGGGGCGGGACCCGGCTTTAACTCCTTGAGTTCCAGGCACCGCCTGATGGCGCAGAGGCTAATGAGTGGTACTAAAGCGACAAGGAGGCACTGAGGAGCAAAGGCCCGAGTGCTGGGTGGAGCAGCAGCTCCGGAGGCGGCTTCGGTGAGGAAACAATTCCTCGGGCCCCGGTGCCTCATTAGCCGCGGGAAGAAACCTCCCTCCTTCCATCTTGGGTCCGCCCCAGCGGCTGTGCTGAGTGGGTGGCAGCGCTTGTCATCTGTGAGGTTATTTCCGCTCAGATCTTACAGTGGGAGAGGAGGAGGTGGCAGCATGGCGGCGTCCGGGCCGACTGCGTTTCCAGGGAAAATGAGGTATAGCACAGCATTTAGGCCGCCGCTGCGCGCGTGGGGACGAATATTAATCCGATTCTAGCCAGAATCCACGGCTGTCCTGGGCAGCTCTGGCTTCGAGGAGGCGGGGGCGGGGGGAGCAGATGGAGGATTGGAGGACTTCTGCTGTCGGGGATGGGAGGATGGAATGGCGAAGGAGTCGGGATTGAAGTGCGGGAAGCCCGCCTGTGGCCTCTGCCTCCAAGCGCTGTCCTTGGTAGGCTTGAAACAGGCTGCTGTGCCCTGTGCGCGGTCGCTCAACACTGTGTGTCTCCTTTCCAATCTTCCAGCCATAAGAAGTACAAGGCCGCATTAAAGAAGGAGAAACGGAGGAAACGGAGGCAGGAGCTCGCCCGATTGCGAGATGCAGGTACTAGAGGTATTCTTTGTTCTGGGTATGAAATTCCTCCCTCTATGGTCCCAACCCCGCCGTGACTGGCTTTAAAAATTGCTGTGTGGCCAAGGATGGCTTCGAACTTCTGGTTCTCCTGCGTTCATCTTCCAAGTTCTGGGGTGACAGAAGTTTGGCCACCATGCCGGCTTGCTTCTCCTTGTTTCCTTCATGCTAGGCAACTCTACCAACTTAGCATGGTATCCCCGGGCCATGCAATTGCTCCCTCTATTTCCTGCACGAACCAGAGGTGCACAGCCATCTGTGCAGCTAGCCACTGTGCTGTTTGGCTTTCACATGGCAGAACCTGATGTTTATGTTTAAGATTTATAAATTTAGTCGATTTATAAAATTAGTACTTATAAACACAGGCATGAGGGTTGAAATCACAGTAGTAGTTCTAGATATGATTGATGGCTTTGAGTCATACCATACAGACTGTGCTTAGTGGTATTTGAGAAAGAACTAGTCCAGGAGAGACAGGATGTAGCATCAAGGATGAAAAGAAAAACAACAGTTTACAAAAATCTTTTCCATTTAACCCTGAAGATAACTGTTAAACAATTTTTCAAGCTTACTTCATTTGTTTCCATTGTTACTGCTCTTTACACCCCCTTCAAATTTAAATTTTGAATAGAAGATAAACAGTTTTCTTCTATTGGAACTACGTTTACCATATTTTTGTTTTGAAAATATTCTAGTGCACACAAAGTTTTATAAAATAGAGCACTTAAAATATTAATGCTTGATATAAATTTGTCAAATTGTTAAATATTTGCGGGTTCTTCCTCCCTCCCCATCCTCCCCTCCCTGTTACTTCCCGAGCCCTTTTCATAGCCATGTCATGAGTATCATTATGGAACTGTTGATTTAAAAAATATAATGTGGGGCTGGGGGATGGTTAAGAATACTGGCTGTAGCTAGTGGCAATGGTGGCATAGGCCTCTAATCCCAGAGGCAGGAGGATGTCTAAGTTTGAGGCCAGCCTGGTCTACAAAGAGAGACCCTTACTCGTATGTGGTGGATATCCCTGGGAGGCCTGCTCTTTTTTATTTGTGTGTGTGTGTGTGTGTGTGTGTGTGTGTGTGTGTGTGTTTTGAAGGGACTCAGAAGGACATGATCTGGGAAAGAGGGGAAGTATGGGGGCGCGGGAGGAGTAGGGGAGGGGAAGCTGCACTTGGGATATGATGTATGAGAGAAGAATGAAAGTTAAAAAACAACACTGCCTGTTCTTCCAGAGGATGAGAGTTCCATTCTCAGCACCCATGCTACTACTATGTCTTTTAAGATATTTTAATTATTTTTTTGAGGTAGGATCTCTAGCCTTGACCTGGACTTTACTATGTAGATGAAACTGGCCTCAAATTAAGACATCCATTTGCTTCTGCCTTCTGAATGCCAAGATAAAAGGCATGCGGTACTGCCTTAATTTTAGGTTTTTACCATAATTGTAATGATTAAAGATTTATGCATTTTCTATGAATAAAGACTCAATTTAATAAAACATCTGAATTTCTACAGAATTGTCACAGCAAGAGGAGGAAGAAGATGCTTTTGCTGAAGAAAAACGATTAGAAGAAGAAAGGCTGATGGAGGAAGAGAGGTCAGAACTTTCTGAAACCCTGAAAGTGAACTGTTTATTGTAGTATTTTCTGCCTTTACCAGCTAGTAAAGGCTCTTTGTATAAAATTTTATAATAATACCTTTTATAAGCTAAATCTAGCTGACAGGTTAAAATTAGATGTCTTTTGCCTTCCTTCCCTTCCTTGCTTCCTTCCTTCCTTCCTTCCTTTCTTCCTTTCTTCTCTCTCTCTTTTCTTTCTTCCTCTCTTCTCTAAATGAGAAGCTTATGCTATTGGATGTCTGGAACATACTAATTTATGGTAACATTACCTTTTTGGGGAGAGGGGTGTTGTTTGTTTGTTCTGGGGGGTGGCTAGGATCTTGCTATATAAGCCAAAATTAGCTTAGAACTTGTAATCCTGTCTTAGCTTTCCAAATGCTAGGATCATTGTCATGTTCCACCTGGCTGTTGTATGCATTTAAAAAGTCCGTTTCTTGATTACAGCTTTAAAAATCCTGGCATCTTTCGCTATAAACTTTGAGTTTCTATTCCATAGAGTTAAGGGATTTGTGTGATTTGCCTTCACACATTTAAACTGCTGGGGAAAAAGTTAATGTTGAGTTTTAAGCAGGTCTTTAAAATAAATGTTTTAAGGGAGCTGGAGAGAAGGCTCACTGAGTCAGAGCACTTACTTTGACTCAGGTTTTGTTCCCAGCATCCACAGGCTGGCTCACCTTCATCTGTAACTTCTAATCCAGGGTATTTAGTGCCTTCTTTTGGCCCCTTCTGTCATGCATGTGATACCCATGTTTACATGCTAGCAAATGTTCATACACATACAAATACAAGTTTTAAGGCAAGTTGAAAACTTATAAAACTAAATTAATTAGTAAATGTAAATTTAGCCAGATGTGGCACACATCTTAATTTTGGCCCTGGGGAGACAGAAGCAGGCAGATCAATGAGTCCCAAGCTAGCCTGGTCTACATAGTGACTTCCAGGACTGGCAGGGCTACATAGGTAGACCCTGTCTCAAAAAAAAAAAAAAAAAAGAAAAGAAAGAAAGAGGAGCAGGTAATAATAATTTTAGTGGGAAAAGAATGCATAGATCAGGAAGAATAATGCTGTGTGAATGTGAAAAATTCACATAGATGTTGCTTTGAAATGTTTTCCTGAGATGAGACTCACTGTTACTTTCTTACAGAAAGAAAAGACGTCACAGCCATAAATGCTTATGAAAGGTAGAAGTAATAATTGTTAAGTTATTTCTGTCCAGGAAGATAGTTGCTTTTCCAAAAGCCACACTACTTCACTGCTTTATAGAAAAGACTTTAAGATTTCCATGTTGTATTTTGGTTTATTGTCTTTCATATATTCTATATTAATTCTCATTTGTTTTTTTTTTTTTTACTGATTACATCATTATACTAATAGGCAAAAATTACATGAAGAATGGTTACTGAGGGAAGAGAAGGCACAAGAAGAATTCAGGGCAAAGAAGAAAAAAGAAGAGGCAGCTCGAAAACGGAAGGAAGAACAAGAGGTAGAGTATTAACTAGCCAGTTAACTGAGTAAGTACTTAACTGAAATACGTCTCACAAACAGACACATGGCTCAGGGATTAAGAGCACTGGTTGTCCTTCTAAACGACTTAGCTTTCATTCCCAGTACCCACATGGTGGCTCAAAACCATCCAGACATCTTCTGGGCCTTGAGGCACAAGGCCTACACATGGTACAGACACATACATACATGCAGGCAAAACACCAACACACATAAAATAAAATAAATTTCAATGAAAAAAGAATTGTTAGTTATGGGACTGGAGAGATAGCTTTGTGGTTAAGAGCATCCCCTTGCTGCTCTTCCAGAGGACCTGGGTTTGTTTCCACCACCCACATGGTGGCTCACAACGGTCTAAATGGAGCGCCAAGGGATCCCACACTTTTTTGGCATTCTGCATGTGTACCCTCACATGTGCATACATTTACAGGGATACTCACATAAGAAAGTTGTTGGAGTTGGGAATATAGCTCAGTGACATAGCTTTTGACCATCATGTGCAAGGACTTGGGTTCTATCTTCAACATTGTGTAAACAAAAAGGGAGCTACAGATGTTAGCATTAAGAAAAACCTGATACTGTTTTTATTTGCAATGACCAATGTTTCTAAAGGTTTCAATCATTTGCTTTGTAGACTATATGTTTTTAAGTGTGAGTAAAAAGTAAATTGCCTTCTCCTTTTTCCCTTTAAAGAGAAAGTTAAAAGCAGAATGGGAAGAGCAGCAGAGAAAAGAGCGAGAGGAAGAGGAGCAGAAACAACAGGAGAAGAGAGAGAGAGAGGTGACTTCTGTCATAGGAGGATAGAGCTCTGCGCATCTTCTTAGTGTGCACGTGTGCATGTGAAAGGTTTGCGGAATTGTCAGTGGGCATGTCAGGGCTTGGTTTTGGTTTTATTTTTTGCTTGTGCTCTGTTCATTTGGAAAGTGTCAGTTTTTGTTAGAAATACACTAAACTAGCTTCCATATGGTTCTCTTCTTTGGGTCGTGCAATGGCAGATTCTTTTACCCAAGTTACCTTACCTTTTATGTTTGAGATGGGTGAACATTTTCCTTAAAGGACAGATAATCAAAAATTTAAGCTGATGTCTGTATGGCTGCTGTGGACATCAGCTCTGCCAGTGCACCCTAAAGCAGACACAGATAGTATGTATATGAATGGATGTGGCTGTGTTCTAGTAAAACATTTCTGTAAAGGGGTGGCTGGCCCTGCTTTACACTATGTATCACTCTGTAGCAAGTGTTAATTTCTATGGTTCTGTTGTATATATGTTGACTTCTTCACAGAAGAATAGTATCTTGAATAGTTTCCACACTTAATTAATTCATGAGACATAACAGCTAATGGCATCTCAGCAACAATTAGTTTAATAGATTCAGGATGTTAGACATTAAGGAATTAAATAGTTTTGTTATTGAATCTGGTGTTCTATGTAACTTTGTTGTCAAAGCAAATGAGTCATTTAAGAAATTCTAGGGGACCTTCTCTTTGAGAAACCTGTGCCCACTGTAGGACATATGCTACTGTCCCTTTCTTACATGTTTCTCTTCTTGTCTCTTAATGCTAATTCTCAAATCTGTGTTTAAAAAAAAAACCCTTTCCTTAATAATCCCTACCATTGCTTCAAAAAATTCTGTAATGTATATGTATATTTCATGTACATTTTCTTGGGTTCTTTTTATAAGATTGGTTTGTTTTCCTGCTGATCCTCAACAGTGTATTGATTTCAAATATAACACAACTCATCTTGCCTTGACTGATTCATGACAATATTCTTTATTTTCTATTCTTTAGCATCACCAAATTTGAACAGCATGACATTTCCATAGTCACTCATCTTAGAATGAGGAGAGATATGTGTCTACATTTTAGTTGTGGAAGGGTAGCAGCATTCTCTACAACCAGTTTTGAGCCTCAGGTGGCATCTTCAATGCAGGATTTTGGCACCCTTGTTTGAGTACTGCCTTCCACATGAGGCAATATCCAGATGGGGATGTTAGGGGTACAAAACTTATTTGAGTTGTCAGTGCTTTACAGAGATGAATCAATTCCTGTTTTAACAGTAGAATATTCTTCAACTTTCAGGGATCAGGTCAAAGTTAAGGCTTCTTCTAAATGCTTTTGTTTTCAAGGGAGTATGGTTAAGGAGAAGTGGGTAAAATGAAATCCATTCTTAGTATGCATAAAGGAATATGCGATGTGTGTTTCTTTTACGTGCTTGGCCCCTCATGGGTGGACAGAGACAAAGCAGTGAAAAGCAGTCTCAGCTCTCCTTGAGTGACTCTAGAAGAGAGGGTTAGAGGGTAAGTCAGCAAAACACATCATACAATAAGAATGTTAGGCTCTATAAATAAATAAAGGAGAGTGTTCTTACAGAATAATGGGGATCAGGATACTTATTTGGTGGCCAAGGAAATCTCTGAGAAAGTGATGTTTGATATAACTTGAGTGTAGGGATATTGGAAGGGTACTGGTGGTACCTGCAACCCAGAGGACACAGGAGACTGGAGAAAGGGCATGGGAGAAAGTAGAATCAGAAGAGCAGGTCGTGCAGAGTCTTAGGTCTTTTTTCTTAATTGAAAATAGATTCTTCTCTCAACAATACATCTCAATCAAGTTTCCCATCCCTTTGTTGCCTCTTCAGAAAATAACAGGCTTCTAAGAGAAAAGAGTTCAGGGAAAAACAAGATACCATAAGGCAAAGCAAAAGCCCTCATCCAGGTAACTCACTGGGAGGAAAAGAGCCCTAGGAGCAGGCCAAAGAGGCATCTTCTCCCACTATTGGGAGTCTTACAAAAACTCCAATATAACAGCCATTACATACACAGAAGCCCTGGTGGAGCCCTGTGCAGGCCCAGTGTTTGCTGCTTCAGTCTTTGTGTGTCCAGGTTATGTGAGCCCAGGTTACTGTGTTGGTGTTACAGCCTGTGAGATTTGCTGAGGGTGACTGAGGCAGAAGGATCAGGAGCCTCTTAGATTTAAAGGAGTTTGGTTTTATTTACCATGTTGTGATGAGTTTTTAAACAAGAGTGACTTCATCCTGTTAGTAATGTCACCGCCAATAGATCATCCTATTTTTTTTTTTTTTTTAACAAAGAACAGGGGCCAGAGAGGAAATAGAATGACCGACTACAATCTGGGTAGGAGATAATGGTGGTTTGGATGAGGGCTGAACTTCAAAGAGATGTGCACACAATTGACAGAACTCTAGGTAGTAAATTTCGTGGGAGGAAGAAGGGAATGGAAGTCATGTTTTTAGGTGTTTTTGTTTGTTTGTTGTTTGTTTTGTTGTTTTTTTAAAAAAAACAAATGGGAAATGGCAGCTTCTGTTACTGAGGATATTTAGGTTTGGATGATGGGGGTGAATAGGTGGAGATCAAGGGTTCCATTTGGGAGAGTGGGGTATAGTTGTTTATTGGCAAAAGTAAAACCTTGAGTTTGTTCTCCAACTCTCAGCCAAAACCAAACCCAAAAGAACTTGTTTTGAGCACGTCAACCAAATGATAACTTTGTTTGGTTTTGATTTTGTTCATTTTGTGGAGACAGGCTTTCTCTGTGTAATAATCCTGGCTGTCCTGGAACTCACTCTTCAGACCAGGCTGGTCTTGAACTCAGAGATCCATCTTCCTCTGCCTCCCAAATGCTGGGATTAAAGGCGTGTGCCACCACGTGTGACTAAACCAATAATTTTTATGTTGCCAGGACCAGACAGAATTACCAAGTAAGCAGCTAAATTCAGTCATATGTATAGTTTTAAGGCACTAAGGTACCTAATTGTATGAATTTAAATTCAACTAGTTAGAGATTTATTGCTAGCTTGTTGGACTTCCTTTATCTTACTGAAGGTTTGGACTTCCTTTATCTTACTGAAGGTTTGAAATTTCTCCTAAACCCTAACTACTATTCATGTCATGTTTTTGTTTCTGTTAAATATTTGTGATGTCTAACCTAACTTTTAAAAGATAGTCATTAATATCTCAAGAACTAGAACATGGTATTTATGTACAGATATGTTATTGAAGCTATTATGACTTAAATATTTGCAATGTACTCTATTCAAATTTTGTATTTGAATAAAAATTCTAAGCTATATATCTTTTGAAAGCTTTTTAGAAGATATATGCTTAGAAAGGAAATCAGAATCAGAAGCCTTTTGTATGTGTGTTGTCATATGTGAGATTAATAACTAGAGAAACCAGACATGACTTACCTGACATCCTGGTTTTCATTAGTCCTATGTTTGCACCACTTATAGGAAGCTGTGCAGAAGATGCTGGATCAGGCTGAAAATGAGGTATTTTCAAAACCTTTCATTAAGACTTTGAAGTAGGTAGAGGTGGCATATTCCAGTCATCCTAGCCCTGGGGAGGCTGAAGCAGGAGAATGACCACAAGTTTGAGGTCAGCCCGATCTACATAGAGAGACACTGCCTTAAAAAGGATTTTGAGATCAATTGATATTTCATTAGGAACAATAGTTCCAATAACATGAGTTTTGTGGTAGGTTGTTTTGATTACTTCTGGATGCCTGGAATCACTTTTGTAACCATTGTTATATAACAACAGAAGATGATTGATGGTATTAAATTACCCCATGGGCTATGCTTGTATCAAGTTTTAAAAATATATGTACATCACATACTACTGGCCCCAAATGGTTGGTTTACCCACCTTGATTCATAGTAACTTGTACTTATTTCTGGTGGCTCCCTGTGTGGACACTTTCAGAATAGATGGATAGAAAGAAGACCTCCGTGACTACATCTGGTAACATTAAGTAATCCCCAATCAAGGAAAATGACTGGGAGCCAAGAGAGAAGTACAGCTTATATTTATGAACAGTTGCCTAGAAAGTCTTAATTTCTTATTGTAATTAAATATGCATGTCTATATATGAAATCATTTTTGTTCTAGATTAAAATATTTGACTATTTGGGCAAACAGTCTTTCATGGGCTTTTACATCACCAGTAAAGTCATGGTTATTTTTAACAGTTGGAAAATGGTGGCACTTGGCAGAACCCAGAACCGCCCACGGATATAAGAGTACTGGAGAAAGATCGAGCCAATTGTCCATTCTACAGTAAAACGGGAGCTTGCAGATTTGGCGATAGGTAATGGATTTTGCTTTGTGTTAGAATGAAATGATGGAGAGTGTTGGGGTTTTGGAAGAGGCATAGACCAGTGTGAAATATTTACAAGTAGGTATGTGGTGCTTCCTTGCCCTGCTCACTAGACAGGTTTACCTGAGTGGATCCTTTGCATTCCATAGCCTTAGGGAAACCTTTTTTTTTTTCTTTTTTCTTTTTAATTAAAAACAGATTTCTTTAATATAATACATTATGATCATGGTTTCCCCTCCCCCAAACTCCTCTTAGATCCTTTCCCCATCTTCCCACCCACAAGAATCCATACTTTTTTTTCTCTGTCATTAGAAAATAGACAGACATCTAAAAAATAAATAAAAACAAACCAGAATAAGACAGGAAAAAAAAAAGAACCAAAGAGATACATATATTCTCACACACAGAAATCCCATAAAAACATAAAACCAGAAAGCATAATATATAAGCAAAAGACCTATAAATTTAAAAAGAAAAAAATGCCTAGACAAAGCATTGTTAGACAAAAAAAAAAAATCCTCCCAAAATGCCACTGAATTTGTTTTGTGTTGGCCATCTATTGCTAGACAAGGGGCCTGTCTAGATTAAAATATGGTTTGAATGCCCAGTGAGACTTAAGGAAGACCATTTGCTTATTCGTTTCTTCCATGCTCCTGTGAGTCTGAGGAGGACAACTAGGTAACTTGGATGTGGAAAATTACATGTCAGAAGTGATTAGAGTAGCCACAAATAACTTTTCATGGGTAAGTTGTCATGGGTATAGGGACACTTGTGAAAGACAAAATTGTAGCAAGTAGAGGAATAGGCTTCTCTCTCTCTTTCTCTCTCTTGATAGGGTTTCTCTGTGTAGCCTTGGCTGTCCTGGAACTTACTCATCAGACCAGGCTGGCCTTGAACTCACAGAGACCTGTCTGCCTCTGCCTCCAAAGTGCTGGTATTAAAGGTGTGCACTACCTCCTCCCAGCAGGAATAGGCTTTAAATTCACTGCTATTGGTCATCATGCTTAGACTTAGGAACAGACTCTTTGGGTTCAAAAACTGGTTTTGGGGGCCAGTGGGAAAGTTAAACTTTACATCTTTATTCCTTCATCTATGAAAATGAAGATGAAACAATACCACCTTTTTGAGGACACGGTGAGACTCCTTAAGTAGGATGAGCATGGGGGACACATAGGGCGGGACAAATGGCTCATGAATTTTCATTGTTCATTACTTTTGTTGTTACTATTGCCATTTTCTGATATATTCATGCTTCCTACCTTCCTACTTTTTTTAAGGTAAGACACATAGAAACATAGTATTGATGTCTTCAGTCATTCAGCAAATAGTTCAAACCTACTATATGCCGGGTAATGAAGATGATTTGTATTTATAGTATGACTTACTATATAAGTCAAAGTAAGCAAATACTTTCTAATGGTAAGCAAATCTGTCTGAGGCAGTGTAATTTCTATGTACCCAATCTGTGGAAGAGAAGGTATAATCTGAACCTTTGTTTTTCTTTTCTTTCTTCTTTTTTTGAGGTCTCACTGTGTAGCTGGCTTGGAACTTAAAGAGATCTCTCTCCTTCTGCTTCCTGAATGCTGAGATTACAGGTGTGCACCATCACACCTGGTATTCATTTGGTTTCTTGAGACAGTCTTATGGAGCCCAGGTTGGCCTACAACTCTATTTGCTCATCCTGCCAGCACCTCCTAATTGCTGAGATTACAGTTGTGTGCCACCATGCCCAGTTTATCTTTTATTTTTCAAGAATAAGACTTTTGGGCTGGAGGGATGGCTTGGCAGTTACGAGCTTGTATATGCTCTTACCAAGGACCTGAGTTCAATTCCCAGCACCCACATCAGGCAGCTCATAATGGCCTGCGACTCAAGCTCCAGGGGATCTGACACTGTTCTTTGACCTTGGCAGGCACCTGTATTCAGTCATATCCCCCCCAACAAGTACACATAAATATGACTAAAGTCTTTTTAAAACTTAAAAGAGAAAGCCAGGCAGTGATGGTTGCATGCCTTTAATCCCAGCACTCGGGAGGCAGAGGCAGGCGGATCTCTGTGAGTTTGAGACCAGCCTGGACTACAAGAGCTAGTTCCAGGACAGCCTCTAAAGCCACAGAGAAACCCTGTCTCGAAAAACCAAATTAAATAAATAAATACACAAATGAATAAATAAAAATAAATAGAATAGTAGTCCTCAACCCTGGATACATAATGGAATCATGTAAAAAGGAAAAAGGCTCAACAAAACCAATCTCACCTCAAATTGAATATATTGGGATTTTAGAGGCTAAAGTAAGTCTAGTTTTGAGATGCCTTTAGGTATTGGATTTGATGGCTGCAATTGTGGATGGCCAGAATATATATGAAAGGACTTGGTGTTTGGTAAAAAGTAGAAAGGCAAACAGAGGGGAGCAGTCTACCTTTAGGAACATTAAAGTTCCTAAAGTCTCAAGAGGAAATAGTAAAACATGATCTGCTTAAGAGCCAGTGAGATGGCTTAGTGGGTTAAGGTGCCTCCTGCAAAGTCTGGTGACCTGAATTTGATCTCTGAATCTACATGCTGAAAGGAGATAACTGACTTCTACTAGTGGTGCTCTGACTTTCACACTTGTGCCGTGTGATCTGTATAAAACACCTCCCATTAAAGAAAGATGTTGGACAGATGGCCTGCCAATGATGAAGGAGCCCCAATTTTAGTTCACATTTGCATGGGTAGTTGAGCCAAGCTGCCTTTAAGGTTTTCCAGCCACTCCTATTTATGATGTGACTCTAATTTCCTTGAAATATAAGACCTGTGCAAGTCAGACTCAGGGGTCTCCTTCTGTTGGTTGTGAGAGGACAGGTGAATTAAATAGTTTTAGGAACACTAGACAGATTAATTCCTTGTGGAAAATGGAGTATTCCATCTGACAGTCATTAAAAAAATAAATACAGGTTGTAGTCAAGTTAGATTTTGTGACCATTTGTTTTTTATGGTTTCTTAAGAGAGTTTCTCTTGTAGCCTACCCTGGAATTTGATCTGTAGAGCAAGCTGGTCTCGACCTCACAGAAATCCTCCTGTCGCTGCCTCCTGAGTGCTGGGATTAAAAGCTTGAGCCACCACCACCTGGCTTGTCACCATTTCTCATCATTGTCATAGGCATATGAGACTGTACCATCACAACTATCAAAGTATATGAACAAGTTGGCTGTTTGCATTGTTCAAGTAATGAGTTTTCATAAAATTGTGTGAAATTAGTGGTTATGAAAGCCAACAGTGTCCTTTCAGATAAATAGACTGTCCTGTATCCCTTTTGTGGAGAGTCTAGATCATTTGCTCCAAATAACACAGCTGCATCATCTCTGTTAAGGTTTGTCATATGCCAGAGAAACACCTCTGTTTCTTTCCTTTAAAAAAAAATGAGGTCTTAGCCTTAATCCAGGTTGAACTTGAATTTATCGTCGTCCTGTCTCTGCCTCCTGAGTATCTAGGATTACAGGCATATAAATACCATACCAGGCAGAAAAACACTTTCTTAACCTAAGCATTTCTTTGGATACTTGCTTTTGCTTGTTAAACCTTTTGGTTATAGTTTTTTTTTTAATTCTTTGACAATTTCATACTTATCTATACTGTATTTTGGTCATGTTCACCTCCATTACCATTTTACCGTGCTCCCACTACCTCTGGATCCTTTCTTTCCAATACATCCTCCTTCTTTTCTCATGTTTTTTCTTTTTTAAACAATTCACTCAGTATAATTAGTGTTGCTTGCATGTGCAAGGTTATTTACTGGATCATTAGCAACTTACCAGTAGCTGTCCCTAGCAGCTGTTGACTGCTAGGGACAAGGCCATAGGTACCTCACCCCTATCAATGCTAGAATGTTGATGGACTTGATTTTATGCAGGTCTTCTGTCTTAGTGTTCTATTGCTGTGAAGAGACCATAACCAAGCCAAGCCAACTCTTATAAAAGAAAGCATTTAACTGTGGGCTTGCTTACAATTTCAAAGGGTTAGTCCATTATCATCATGGTGAGAAACAGACAGACATGGTGATGGAGCGGTAGCTGAGTGCTTTGTATACTGATCCAGAAGCCATAGGGATGAGGGGAAGTCAGATAGACAGACGGATTTTGAACTCTCAAAGCCCATCCTGAGTGACGTACCTCCTCCAACAAGGCCACATCTCCTAATCCTTCCCTGAACAGTGTACCAACTATGAACCTATGAGGTCCATTCCCATTCAAGCCACCACATCTTGCAAAGGTAACCATAGCAACTGTGGTTCATGAATCATAGATGCTTAGGTTTTATGAACACAGTGGCCATGCTGCATTCAGAAAACAGTGTTTCACAACAAACACTTTTTCTCAACACTTTGGCTAGTTATTAACCGCTATCCACTACATAAAGAAGTTTCTCTAAAGTTGAGAGCAGCACTAAGTGGGTGCTAGGCTATGGAGATATCTTAATTACAACTTTGTTTTTTTGCAACAGGATCTTAGTCTAGTCCAGAGTAGCCTAGACCAGGATGGCCACTGTCCAGACCAGGGCCATTTTTGTCCCTCTATTCCTTGCAGTATTCTCTACTCTATAACTTTCTTCTGAAGTTTTCCTTTCTCTAAGTTTGTCTTACTGATTTTTGTTGTTTTTGTTTTGTTTGGTTTTATAGACTGGGTTTTTCTGTATAGCCTTGCTTGTCCTGGAACTCTATAGACCAGGCTGCCTTCCAAGTGCTGGGATTAAAGGCATGTGTCACTACTGCCCTGTCTTACTGATTTTTAATTAGAAAGGTAAGGAGGAAATATTTATTTAGGACTTTGAACTGTGTGGCCCCTCCTATTAGTGCATTTTAGGAGAAAGGAGTAAATAAGAAAATGAACTCATATGATTTTTAAAAAATTATTCTGGAATAGCCTAGCCAGCTTAACCTTGATCCATTTTAAACTATGAAAAGAAATGGGTCTTCAAGTTATTAGGTGTACCTTAGGTGAATAAAAATTAAGTTATATTTATAATGATCACATGCCAGATTAACCCAGATATCTAGGGTCAGGCTCTTCTCAGTCATATGACTTGGGGTGGTGTGCTTCTTTAGATTTCAGCTACCTTTCTGTTTTGGATTCTTTCCTTATTGCTGTGGTAAAATATCCATCAATTTAAGGGAGAAAGGGTTTATTTGGCTCACAATTGCAGGTTACAGTTCCTCATTGTGGGAAACCAAGGTGAGAGGAACTTGAAGCAGCTAATTACATTATTGCCACAGTTAAAAGCAGAGAGCAATGATTTTATGCTTGCTTGCCTAGGCTCAGTTTGACCTCTCCATTTTATATAGTTCAGGAACCATGCCCAGGGAAGAGTCCTACCTATGATGAAGATGGGTTTTCCCAAATCAATTAGAGTATCAAGGCAATCACTCACAGACATTCTCAGAGGATAACTTTAGGCAGTCCTTCATTAGAATTCCTTCTCAGGTGATTCTAGATGGTCAAGTTGAAAATTAAAACTAACCATCACACTTGGCAAAGTAAGAAAATACTAGTACCAACTGTCCCACTAGGTTGTTAAGGATGAGAGTGGAAAAATACTTTAAAAAGCATGAAAATTTTAAAATGCTATATGTAGATAAAATGACAATACTTGAGTAAATGGAAAATTTTAGATTACACTATTGTCTCTTTAAAATAGTGAATTTTAAAATTATGTATTTATTTTTATTTTAATGACAATATTTTTATTTAAACTGGAAATCAGCTTGTTTTACATGTCAATCACAGTTTCCTCATTTTTCCCTCCTCCCCTGTGCCCCCCAACTCCCACCCCATCCCCTTCCTGCTCCCCAGGGAGGGTGAGGCCTTCCATAGGGGATCTTCAAAGTCTGTCACATCATTTAGAGCAGGGCCTAGGCCCTCCCCCATGTGTCTAGACTTTGAGAGTATCCCTCTATGTGGAATGGGCCTCAAAAGTCTATTCGTATACTAGGGATGAATACTGATCCACTACCAGAGGCCTCATAGACTGCCCAGTCCTCCTAACTGACACCCAATTTCAGGGGGTCTGGGTTGGTCCTATGCCACTTTCCCAGCTATCAGACTGGGGTCTGTGAGCTCCTCCTTGTTCAGGTCAGTTGATTCTGTGGGTTTCTACAGCCTGGTCTTGACCCCTTTGCTCATCACTCCTTGTCTGTAACTGGATTTTAGGAGTTCAGCTCAGTGTTCAGCTGTGGGTGTCTGCTTCTGCTTCCATCAGCTACTAGATGAAGGCTCTAGGATATCATATAAGGCAGTCATCAATCTCATTATCAGCGAAGGGCATTTAAGGTAGCCTCTTCACTGTTGCTTAGATTGTTAGTCGGGGTCATTCTTGTAGATCTCTGGACATTTCCCTAGTGCCAGATTTCTCTTTAGACCTATAGTGGCTCCCTCTATTATGGTATCTCTTTCTTGCTCTGCTCTGTTCTTCCCCTGACTCAATCAATCTTCCTGCTCCCCCATGTCCTCCTCTCCCCTCCTTCTCCCCTTCCCTTTCTCCTAACTATTTATTTTTCTCCTAACTTTTATTATTTTTGAGGGACTGTCTCCCCTTGGAACACTGGCTGTCATGGCACTAGCTATGTAGAATAGGTTGGCCTGGAACTCAGAGATTCTCTTACCTCTGCTTCATGAGTGTTGGGATTAAAAGTATTAACTACCATGCCCATCTTTAAAAAAAATTTAATGTTATTGTGTGTGTGTGTGTGAGTGTATTGTGTGAGTGTGTGTGTGTGTGTGAGAGAGAGAGAGAGAGAGAGAGAGAGAGAGAGAGAGAGAGAGAAAGAGAGAGAGGGAGAGAGAGAGAAAGACAGGGAGGGAAGGAATATGTAGGTTCAGGGATCCAGATCATCAGGCTTATGCAGCAAGTGCTTTTATCTCGAGCCATCTCACTAGTCCAGATTACTGTATTCCCTAAGCATGTAAATCAGTTGAAAATTGTGTAAAAGCAAAATTATATTGCCAATCCTCAACTTCTTGAGTCCCCAGTGCAGCAACGTATTCACGTCACTGCAATCAGTCACACTATTGGACCTTCTTTCCCTATGGTTCAACATGGAGAAATCTTTTGAATGTATTGAAAAGCTCCTGAATGGCATATGGCCTTGCAAACCATTCCCAATTTTTTTAAAATGAGAAAACAGTCAATTTTAGGACAGTTTTTTTTGTGTGTGTGCTGTAACTGGGGCATGCAAGCAGTGTTCATTATCTTAGTTAATTTTAAACAACCACATTACTTGATTCTTGATCTCAGAGTTTATGGTAAGTGTGATTTTTAGTTCTCAGACTAATAAGTTTGCTTGCTTTCTTCAGGTGTTCACGTAGACACAACTTCCCCACATCAAGTCCCACCTTGCTTATTAAGAGCATGTTTACCACGTTTGGAATGGAGCAGTGCAGGAGGGATGACTATGACCCTGATTCAAGCCTGGAATACAGTGAAGAAGAGACCTACCAGCAGTTCCTAGACTTCTATCATGATGTCCTGCCAGAGTTCAAGAACGTGGGAAAAGTGGTTCAGTTTAAGGTGCGCACAGACTGGGAAGGAGGCAGACACACCTTACCCTGAAATACAAGATACAAGGGCAGAGCTAGGGCTCAGGCTGTTTACCTGGGTGGAGTTGTGTGCCAGTACATGCCTGGCCTGGAGCTGAGCATTCCAGCACTGGGTAAACATCACTCAATTCTCTTCCCTTTTACCCCATTCTGGCCAATGCCATGTAAATACCATAGGAAATCATAAGCATATGTTAGTATGTTTTTGGAATGCCAGGGCGTGCATTGGAAAGGACCCCTATTCAATGCTTTTGTGCTGCAGCTCTTTCCAGAAGCTGACTTCATTGTCAAGCCTGCTGTACCTAGCCATCTAAGCCTTCCCTTAGCTGCTGTCTGTGATGGACACGGTTCCCTCCCTTCCCACTTTCAGTGCCTCACCCAGAACAATGTTATATATACTGTCATTCAGTTTCACTCACTGAGTAAGGTGAGATGTGGCCACTGCTGTTTCTGGAGCTCATTGGGTGAATCCCAATACGCAGTCCTCTTGCTTCTCTGCGATTTGATCATATCTAAATCTGAATGACATTGTTATATGAGGACAAGGGAAATGTCCCTGATTTTGGAGAAAAGTAGGAATAAAGTTGTAGGGGTTTTTTTTCTGTCAGAAATGAAATTATAGAGTTGGAATAATCAAGTACCATAGATATAATAAGAAATCTGAGATTATAATTTGCTTTCTGTGGAAATACATTATTTATGATTTATTAAAGCTTGCCTGATGGTAAGAGAACAAAGCAGCCGACTACTAGCTCTACCTCACGCCAAAATGGATGATGCTGTCTCCATTAATTCTCAGAGTTCAATGTTCTCCATCAAACCACACACTGCTATCCTCTGAACTCCTGTCTCCTCCTCCTCCTAAAATCCTTTCTCCACCCAGCCTTATCATTCCTGTCTCCACCTCCCTAGTGCTGGGATTAAAGGCATGTATCAGTATTGCCTGGCTCTATGGCTTATGGCTAGCTTTGCTTTCTGTACCCTCAGGCATGCTTTAATAAATATAAGTAATATATCACCACAGATTTCCAGATTTAAAATATATTCCTTAACATTTGTTTTCCAAAGAAGGAGAAATAGAACATAGTGTTATAAAGAGATAAAAGAGAAACTAAAATATGGGGATTACATGGGGGAAGGGAGTAGGCTTTTTTTAAAAAAAATAAAATTTGAATAAAAAAAATCTGTTTTCCTCTTGGGCTGGCAAGATGACTCAATGAGTAAAGGCACTTGCCACTAAGCCTGACAACCCAAATTCAGTCTCTAAGTCACACATGGTGTTAGGAGAGAAGTGACTCTTGCAAAGTCGACCTGCACATTCACACTGTGACATAAGCATGGTATGCACATACAAATAAAGAAGTGTCGAACAAATTAAATATTTTCTCAGAACTATTTCTGTGGCATATGCCTTCCTTCTCACTTCTAAGAGCAAACAATAAAGTGGAAGTATGTGGTCATGTCTGCATTGTTCCACATGGAAGCAAGCCCCAGGCAATGGGGTGCTCTGTCTGCTCTTCAGATGTCCCTTTATCTCAACAGTGAGATTGGCTTACATTCGTGATTTCCCTCATAGGGCCCCTGGATCCTACTGTTTCTATGGAGTGTTAATGGTGAAGTGTTTTCAGAACTTCAGATCAGTAGCTCAGTCATAGAGTGCTTACCTAGCATGTATAAGGCTCTGGGTTCTGTCCCCAGCACAGTGGGGTAGGCATTGTGGGTGTCAGGGAGGTTAGTGGAAGTTGCATTATTATGTGTAGCAGACTTCATCCACTCACCACATTTTTTTTCTAGAAAGCAAACAGGATGATAGGGCTCATGCTAACCACATTGACAGTTACAAATGAAAAGAAAGCTGTTGAGTAAATTTGTGGTACAGAAATGATCACATTGACTTCATTATGGAAAATCTGTAGGTCTTGGGAACTATTAAACTATTAATATTGTTGTCATTACATGGTTCTGGGGATTGAACCTAGGGCCTTATACCTGCTGGGCAAAAGTGCTATACCACTTTTTATTTTTGCAGCTCAGGCTGGCCTAGAACTTGTAGTAGTCCTCCTGCCTCTGCCTCCCTATTGCTGGAATTTTAGGCATGTGCCACCAAGCCTGACTAGATTAAATGAATTTTAAGGTCCTTAGTCATGGTTGACATGGAGACTCCCACAGCCCTTTATTCTTCTTTCTAAAGACTGTATTATAGAGTAGGATCCTGTACCCCCTTGGATGTTCTAATAACAACACCCTAAAGCAAAACATTTATTGTAGCTTTGTTTTGAAGATAAAAGCTAAACAGTAGTAGGAATATTTTGTTCTTGTTTTTTCCAAACAGGGTTTCTTTGTGTAGTCTTGGCTGTCCTTGAAGTAGCTCTGTAGGTCAGGCTGGCCTTGAACTCACAGAGAGCCACCTGCCTCTGCCTCCTGAGTGCTGGGATTAAAGGTGTGTACCAGCACCTGCATAGTAGGAATATTTAAAGACCTTTTATATTTATCATTTTTGAAGGCGACAATCAATTTTTTAGCTCTACTTATAGTAGGAACAACACATGGTGTGTGTATGTATGTGTGTGTGTATGTATATATACATAATTATTATATATACCATTTTGGTTAGTATATATTTATGTATATGATATATTTTACTTTCTGGCACATACATAATGTATGTATACCTATATACATACATATGTCTGTAAAAGTATACACACATAATATACATATATATTCCAAACAGAAACACTCTGCCTCCCATATAACAACAAGTGCTCTTAACTGCTGAGCCATTTCTCCAGCCATTCTGTTTTTATATAGCTCTGAAGCATTTCACACATTTAGGGTTTAAAAATGGCAGACAAGGATAAACAGAAATTAGGCAGTTGAGGTCTGCAATGTTGATAGGTGCTTAGCTATGCCTTGACTAGATAAGAAAGTGCTAGCCTGTCACAGACTCTTTGAGGGACTAGTAGCATTTGATGATTGACTTCTTTTCTTTGTTTTAGTAACAACATTCTTTGTTCCTTAGGTCAGCTGCAATTTGGAACCTCATCTGAGGGGCAATGTATATGTTCAGTACCAGTCGTAAGTATTATGAACATACATGCATCTTCACGTTTCATCATAGTTACGGTATTGTGTTTCTTTGATGCCACTGACTATGTAGCTTTCCTATGCATGGACTTTTCAAAATGTCAGTATGAAGAGCTCATGGAGAAACAGCAAGATTTGAAAATAATATACTTTTTTGTACAAACTGAAAAAGGCCTAATTAGAATAGAGTAGAAATTATCTATCCAAGGTACAAGGGGGTTAAAGCTCCAAATAGTGTTCATTTGACCAGCTAGCAACATAGTTCTTGTGTCCTTTCTGCATGTATTGCCATTTTTTAGTGGTGTCATGGCTAATGGCTTCAATTAGCCATTGTAATAAGAATAGTAGTCCTAACTGAGAAAGCATGGATCCTAACAAGTGGAAATAAACTTATGCAGATTTAGTGATACAGTCTTGCAAATTAAGAAGCTTTGACTCCAGCCAGTCTCCCTATGACAAAACCTTACAGAGGGTTAATGACAGACATCCTTGAATAAACTAGCCTGTGGGAACCTGAATACTCCGAAGACTTCCTAGGCAATTCAAGAATTGAACTTGGTAGTCCTACAGTAAATGGACAAGAGGGTTAGTTCAGAATAGGTTTGTTCTACCTGTGAGAGTTAAAAGCACAACCTTTGATTTTTGCTTCCAAGGGAAGAAGATTGTCAAGCAGCTTTTTCTCTTTTTAATGGACGATGGTATGCAGGACGACAGCTTCAGTGCGAATTCTGCCCAGTGACCCGGTGGAAAATGGCAATTTGTGGTAAAAGCCAATGTAGTCGCACCCCCACCCCCCACTGCTGCACTATACAAGGGAAACTTCATAGGAAGAAAGCAATATTTTAAAGGGATGATGTACAGTTTTTGTCTCATACTACAGATGAGCAGAGTGGTTATATAAAGGACACCACAGTTTAAAAGGACACCACACTTTAGATCTGTACAGGCCTGTGGGTCACTATATGAATGGAATGACTGAGGTCACAATACATTAGTGACAGAATTGCAGCTTGAATTTGAGTCTTCAGATCCAGGTTATTTGTGTGACAACGCATTGTCTAAATTAAAGATACCCACATGATCCATGTTGCAGTTTTAAAGGTGTTTTCTATTCGTTGGTTCTCCTCTCGTGAGCTGTTCACTTCAGTCTTGATCCATCATGAACGCCACAAACATTACTGGTGGCTAACATTTCCCACATTAATTGAAGTCATGCTCTTGTGCATTTGAGACAGTTTGGTGCATGTGAATGAGTTAAGTTGTACATTGGGTGCTCTCAGTTACTCTGAGTCATCTGAGATCGGCAGCCAAACCAGGAAATGATTCAGCACTGCAGAGAGTAACTTGCTGCTTTGGAAGGTCTCATCATTTTCTGATTTCTAAAAGTGTGCTTAGCCAAAGCAGTATAGACGTTCCCCTGGTGAAGATACATGAAGCTCTAATGCTTCAGGTGTGCTTCTGCCTCCTTGTTTTCTGCTCTTCCTTCTCAGGTGCTTTTTATCAAGCAATTCTAAATCGTTAGCTGCCTTCTCTTAGTGGATGCTGTCGTTTAAAAAGAAAAAAAAACTGTGATGGGCATGCATGATGTCACCTTTGGTTCTAAAATTGTGGGTAGGTCAGGACACTAGGATTCTGAGTTCAAGGCCAGCTTGGGCTTGAAATAAATAAACTAATTAATTGATTAATTAATGTAACAATTATCAAAAATGAGGGGTTAGAGAGATGGCTCAGTGGTTAAGAGCACTTATTCTTATAGAGGACCCAGGCTCATTTCCCAACACCTACATGTTGGCTCATTATTGACTGTAACTCCTGTTCCAGGGATTCTGACACCCACTTCTGATCTCTGGGTACCAGGCATGTATATGATGCACATACATAAATGCAGACAAAACACTCATATACATAAAATAAATAAACCTTTAAAAGTTTTAAAATAAATAAAAAAGGCTGGACAGTGGTGGTGCACACCTTTAATAGCAGCACTTGGGAGGCAGAGGCAGGCAGATCTCTGTGAATTCAAGGCCATCCTGGTCTACAGAACGAGTTCCAGGATGGCCAAGGTTACAGAAATGAAACCCTGACTTGAAAACATACATACACACACACACACAGAGACACTCAGAGAGAGAGAGAGAGAGAGAGAGAGAGAGAGAGAGAGAGAGAGAGAGAGAATTTTAGAATTCCTTGCTTAGGAAAATGAGAACCAACATTATGCCCTAAGTTTAAGGGTTGGGTAGATGAGCAAGATGACAGGGTATTCTTTTATAGGCATTTATAGTTCCTCAAGATGCAGTGTGATTCCAGTGATGTACTTGACTACAACTTTGAAACCTCCAAACCAGGATCTTATTAACAACAACATCAATGACAAAAAAATATAAACAGCTTTAGTATCTTTCTCAGGGACTAATAACTTTTTTGTGTAATTATTGACTTCTAATATATCTTCTTTGGAGAAAGCTCTATTTAAATAGCTGTCCATTGTTAATCATGTTACATCTTGTTATTATTCAGCCATCGAAAATCTTGATAGATTTTATATATCAGTAGCTGATCACAGGGGTCATCTGCAAATGCTTTTTCATCGTTTTACTTTATTTACTTTCAGTCACAAAGGTTTTCTTTCTTTTTGTTTTCTCTCTTTTCTGCATGTCTGTGTTTAGAAACAGGACCTCCTGTACCCCAGGCTATGGACATAAGTGTGCCATCCTACCTGGGTATTACATTCTTATTATGTGTAGAGCATTGCAGGATCCCCTCATCTATGTTGGACCTTCTCCTGACCAGCATATGCGTTCAAAAAAATGCTAATATAGGGATTCCAAAATCCAGTTCTTGAATCAGTGGATGATGTAGCCACCATTTGCTCAGTTGCACTCTGCTGACACAAGGCACGGATGTTCTGGTTAATTAAAACTAGTTTGTAACCTTTTTGTGATACCTTTTAGTGTCTGAGTTCTTGCAATCTTAGGCACCAAATGAGGACATCAGTTTATCTACATCATACACTGTAAGAAACAGTGCAGAAATACCCAGATTTCAAAGCTTCTTCTGATTTCAGAAAAAGAATGAATTACAGTGATGCACACTGATAATCATTGCCTCTTCACTTGCCCTCACAGGTTTATTTGAAGTACAGCAGTGTCCAAGAGGAAAACACTGCAACTTTCTTCACGTGTTCAGAAACCCCAACAACGAATTTAGGGAAGCCAACAGAGACATCTACCTGTCTCCGGATTGGACTAGCTCCTCCTTCAGTAAGAATTTAGAGAGGAGGGAAAGGACCAGCCACTATGATGAATACTATGGCAGGTCAAGAAGACGAAGGAGCCTGAGTCCAGACCTCTCCTACAAGAGAAATGGTGAGTCTGTCAGGAAGAGCAGTAGTAATCACAGGGGGAAGAAGTCTCACAGACACGTGACGAAAAGTCGTGAGAGGCGCAGTTCACTGAACAGAGGAAGAAGAAGGGATCATAGTCCAGCCCCCCGGAGCCAGAGTCGGAGGAGCCGCAGGAGCCGGAGCCGGAGCAGGAGCCGGAGCCGCAGGACCAGGAGTCGGAGCCGGAGCCGCAGCCGAAGTCGGACCCGAAGCCGAAGCATGAGCCGAAGTCGGAGCCAGAGTCGGAGCCGCAGCCGGAGCTCATCAAGGTCCAGAAGTCACGGCAGGAGGAAGTCAGATAGTAGAGACAAACCCACCCAGAGTCCCAAATCTAAATAAACTTGGTTGTTTTTAAATATCATTGTTTTTTTATGGCAGCTACTCACCTGTATAGTTTGACAAGACTAGCCAAACACTATCATGTAAAGCATACTTTTTGATAAATTGTGTATATAATAACCTGAAATGACTTGTATTCCTAACTTTGAGAGCATCAGTTAACACTGGAGTAATGCTTTAGTATTTTTTTTTTTTTCCGTTTTCTGTATTTCTCTCTCACCTCTCTCCCTCTCTGCGTAAGTGTATCACAAGCACGGAGGTCAGAGCACAATTTCCAGGGGCCAGTTATAGTGAGATCCAGGGGTTGAACAGAGGTCATGAGGCTTTCACACCAAGCATCTTTATCCTCTGAGCCATCTTGTCAGCCCAACTTTATTTGTGTTACATGTCCATACTCGTTATTTTTGTTTTATGCATATAGGTATTTGACATATATATTTGTTTGCATGTACCACTTGTGTGCCTAGTGTCCATGGAGGCCAGAAGATTCCCTGGACTGGAATTTATCAAACTCAGGTCCTCTAGAAGAACAGTCAGTTCTCTTAACCACTGAACCATCTCTCTAGCCCAACACACTTTATTTTTTAACTCAAATGTCACTTATGGTTTTAATATTTTCACTCAATTGTTTCACTTCATCAATCCTGATTCTTTTGTCCCATAATTCTTATTTTTACTCACCACATAAATACATCTACGCTTATTTGACATCCCTATTGTTGGATTTTGAAAGATGATCCTCTTAGATTTTAATGATTTCTACACATTTTTTGGATCAATTTCTTAGAATAAACTATATCAAGAAAGCAATCCAAATTGCCTTCCAGGAAGACTACAAGAAAGGTCACCTTACAGCTCCCATAGCACAAAGTTATCTTGATCTTTACCAGTTTGGCAAGTTTTAGGTATTTAAGTGCTTACTTTTATTGACAATATTTTTTCTACTTAATGGCCATTCTTTTTGTGCTTTTAAAATATTATATTTTTTTTCTATATGTAAAAGTTGATTTTTTTGTTCTCAAACTTACTTCCTGTTTTAAAGTGTTGAAGTACTCATTTCCATACTCCTCTTTCCCCATATTTATAGTTCCTCCTTCACCTAGGGACTGTCGTGGTGCATATCTTGTTTGAACAGTATATTGTGAAAGTTCTTTATATAGAGGCATTTTGTCATTTCCCAGAAAATTAAGAGTTACTATTAACTCCATGCACTGTTAAAATAGTCACGGTATAATAATCACAGAAGAGTGGTAGGTGAAGAACTGATTGTAGGGTCATGTATATTATTCCTAACTTTCCCAAGATGCTCTCCTCTCACAGACTGTCACTGTCATGCTCTGGACCTCAAAATTCAGTGTCATGTGGTATTTAACAGTCTGACATTTGAGAATTCATTAAGGATGCATACAAGTCATGTGTAGTAGTTTACTCCAGTAATCCTTGCACTGGGGAGGCTGATGTCAGCCAGAGCTAGAGTGAGACCCTGCTTCTTTAGAAAAAAGGCATAAAGTGTTGAAAAAGTCTAACAAAATACAACTTGTTTCATTCTAAATGTCTGTTTCATACAAAAAATCATGGATTTCTAGATTCACTGGGCTCACTAATGCTGAATAGTTTTAAGTAAATTTGTTATTCTTAAAATACTGTTCAAACTTCAGTCAAGATTATGTAAAGATTGATTTGTATGTATGATGCTGAGGCTTCAAACATGGTGGGCAAGAGCTACCACTGAGGTACATCCCCAGTCCTAAAGCTGTATGATGGGAAAGGAAAGAAAATACATCTTGGGCTCAAGACAACTGATCAAGTGGTGACTTTGCCCTCAAATGTTTGTTGGCCAGTATGGAGTGCAGGGTTAAGTTTAGAAAACCGCTGACTGGGTGATTACCCTGATAGTGACTTTGTGCTTACATTTACTATAATAAATGGGTGTCCATGTGTGTCTGTGATAAACTACTCACAACTCAACTCCACATTACTGACAGGAACCCACAGGCCTTTTAGGGAACAGCTGCATTCTCCCAAAGTCCTTTAAACCTACAGTTGTTTGTTTCAACTTAATTTCCTGAGAATCCTTTCCTTGATCTTAAATATCTCAGGCTTTGAATGAAGCAATTTCTATTTGTAGTAGTAGAAGGCCTCATAACCACAAAACTGGAAGTTTTGACTTGTTGCTTACATTAGATAGCAGAGTAAGCAAATCAGTCTGTTGCATGTGCTAGCACTTCCTCATATGTAGGAGGTGAGGATTCATCATTTGGATAGCATTTGATTATCTGGAGAAATCTGAGTTGCTAAATCAAAGAGTATATAAAAGGCAACTGCATCAAGGTTTTAAAAGCGGCATTTATTAATGGAAAAATAAGTGTGTTGTAAGTTCTTGATAGGATAGAATTCATGTGACTTTTTAAAAGTGAGTTTGATGTACATGAAAATTCCTACTCTTGTCATATTTGTGTGTGCTTGGAACCACCATCACATTCCAGTGCAGGGGGTGGGCTGTCAGATGGAGAGGGATTGTCAACACTGTATGGGGAGGAAAAAAAAAGATCCCTTCCTTCAACAGCTCTCCCTCTTCAACAGCTCTCCCTCATTTGATGAAACATTTGGAAACAGATAAAAGTACACCACAGTATTTGTAGAACATTTATTACCATTAATTGGTGATGTGATAAGACAGTGTTCAGGTGGCTTGAAAGTTGTTCACAATCACAGCAAAGCTTACTCCAGCCTAGCATATACAAGGGAAAGTAGAAACCAGGGAGATGTGTTCATGTATGTGTCAGTATGTATAAAAGTGATGCAGAGCATTTATATAGCTTGAAAAAATATAGGGCCAACTAATGCCATTTTACTTCACTCAACTCTCACGTTGCTATATGAAACGTATCTCTGAAATTTCCACAAGACTTCTGATGACTAGGTAGTGACATGGAAGGAAAGGGAGCTGCTGTCAAGTTTGTAGCACTTCTAATTGGAAGGAAGCAGTGGGGAAGCAAAAATAAATTTGGCTTTAACAAGCACCCCAGAAGGAACATTCATGCTTTAGATAATGACTTTATATAACACTTTGTGAAGAGAGCAACATACTGTTATAAAGGATACCTGGTAATTAACTGCCCTATTTTGTTTTGGGGCCTTGAAAACAGTTAAGTAACTACATGATTATGACCACTAAAACTTCACCTCAGGAGTTAAATGTTCCTTGGCCTTGAAAATTATGTGCTCAAGATTAGGAAAGTTTTTGACCTTGTCCCAGTCCTTCAGAATACTTACTTAATTTTAGTGTAAAGTAGACCATTCTAAGTTCTCTAAAAGCATCTATTCCCTTTGTTTTAGTGTATATTGGTTGCCTAAATTTTCAATAAAGTTTCCTTCATTTGATCTGTGATGTGTCAATTTCCTTTATTCTTATATATACTGAAATACTACTCTATTCTTTGGTTTCAATCAAACCATGTTTCACTTCATTTAAGTTTCCTTTTGCAAGTACACTAGTAAATGTATTTTGCCAGATTTTTGGATATACATGAATATAGACATCATTTTAATATATGCACATAATTAAAATGTTCAGAAATGGTATGTTACTTTTCCTGTATCTTTCTAATTCACATTTATGTCCCTTATTTGATTAACCAAAGTTTCCTTTCAAAAAAATTGGGTAGGCCTGAATGAAGCAGCTTAGCAAGACAGTAATACTGACAAGACATCATCTTACACCATTAGCTAACATGGACATGAGAGGCAGTGACCATCTACAGTGTGTGAAATGCCACAAGAAGTCATCAGCAAGGGAGTACAGTTATGTCAGTCCAATTTCTTCAAGAACACTACGTGGGGTTTCAGCTTCCTGTGGAGGAAAAATGTGAGACTCTGGTAAGCAGATACAGGGAGAGATCCTTAAGAATATGAAAAGCACACACAAAGGGGCATGCTCATTTTAGAGAATAAAGAAGGCAATTTGGGGTCACAGGAGCAATCTACTAGTGACAGCCAACGGTTTTCAAAGATTTGTGCTGAAAACACAGAAGAATGTTTTCAGCATTTACTAAACACCTAATTACTGACCAGTGTGCCGAGCACCATTGCTATAACAAAAAGCAATCAAGCCCATTGTATATTGACTAGCAATGTATGAAATTATATGCAGAAAATATTGTCTAAAACATTACAAAATTCAAAAAGTCAAATAAAAAGCCCCTTCCCCACAAGTTCTAATGAGTCATCTAAACTTCTCTAGAAAAAATGTCTTGTGTAGGTTTTCCTTAACTGTCCACTGCAATGCTTTAGAAACAGCCACCATCCCAGACCTCCCTTGGGCAACCACTAGCACTGGTGGAGGTGACATTAAGAAGAAACAGTATGGAACAAAAGGCTTTTTCGTCTTAATGTAAGAATGAATATTTGTTTTTCAATGTCAAAGCCAAATCTGCCAAATCTAAAAAAAGGTATTTTAAAATTTTCCAAACTGGCCAATTTTGTACACCACAAAAATAAAATAGACCATAAATAAAATAGGGTAGCTATCACTAGCAATTTTGGAATTAGAAAGCCATCACTGTTCCTTTAATAGATGAAAACAATGTAAGATTTTGTTATCCAATAATAAACTTACTTTTGCATCCTAATCACGAGACAGCACAAAACAAGGAAAAGAAAAATTATATTAAATCAGGAATCCTTAGAATGTTAGGTTGAATGGTAGGAAATCCACTGTATAGTGTAATCTTAAATGACTTAAAACTTGTCTCCATATTTGGGAAACAAAAATAGTAGTACTTACCTTTATGTGCTGAGATTTAGTTTAAAGCTCAATGCCTGATTTAAAGAAAGTGTTTCAAAAAATATTAGCTGATAATTACACTATTACAATCTAAATGAAGGGATTTAGTACTAAATACTATAGCCAAAAATGTTCATAGAATGTCTGTTAGTATGCTTGTATAGGAATTAAGAATGTGTGAAAATCAGCTTTAGTGAAAAAAGGACATTTTTTTCAAAAGGTAGTATGATCTATGCAGTACACTTGCCCCCCCAACCCCCGAATTGATACTCCAGTCTAATCAGGAGGAGAAAAGAAAAAGGTAAACATTGCCATGAGAATATATAGGAATGTGGGAAACTGTATGGTATCAAAAAGTCCAGTTTTGTTTTTTAATGGCAAAGAGTGAAAAACCAAAAACAAACATCAGGCTTGCTTACAAACGAGACTAAAGGCCTATGAACCATCCAATATAAAATTTCTTTGGAATCTAATTTTATACATTATAAGAAGGCATTTATTCCCCATCAATAATTAGGAAAAGCTGAGCCAGGTACAAAGCAAAGTTAATTTCTGTCCATTTTATTTGTTGTGGCAATGATCTGTTAGGAATACATACTGAAACATTAAGATGAAATGACAGTTTGTCTGGGACATGGTGGATATAAAGTTCGTAACTGTTGATGCTGAATGATGTATGAATGAATGAATGCTCTGTATGAGGATTCTGTTTTTGTCTAGACATTTTCATGACAGTTTTTAAAAGCAGTCTAACAATAGTAGTGATAGATGCCAATCTCTTCTGCTTAAAAATGTTTGCCTTTCTTTAACTACACTGAGAGTGACATCTGAATTACTTAAAATATTTCATACTGTAGGCTCAGAAATGGTTAAAATGATGGATTCTATGTTATTTTTTAATCACAATTTTAAAAATTACCTGGAAAGTGAAAATATAAAATGTTATTTTGTCAAAAAGGATGGAGTAGAAAAAAGTCCTTCACATGAGGCAAAGTACATGTGAATTTAAAAGTTATTTCCATTTAATATTGAGCCATTTTAAAACTTCTTGCTACCTTTAATATGTTACAATGTTAAAGGATCCCTACACTGAATTCTAGTCAGTTTATATTCTCAGTCTAGCTAGATAAAAATGGCCCATATCTATTCCCTGGACGATCAAATTTCTCCAGGATGCTCACTGACTGTGGTCTGAAGAGAATCATGTTGCTTTCTAAATGGGCATTATTTAAAATATGTCCTCTCTAAAAGGCCTAATTTACACATTTTATTTTATTCTTTTAAGACTGGATAAATTGAGTATTTATACAAACTGTTTATAAAACAAAATGTAATTTTTACAAGTACACACTGAAATTGTAGCTCAAAATTATTTAGGGAAATGATTAAAATAGAATGGTTGTTACCAGGGCCTTTCTTCAGTGAGAGAGAAATGGGAAGTGGTTGGCTGGTGAGTTATGTAATTTCAGTTCTGCAAGATGAAAAAGTTCTGGATATGTGTTGTACAATATGAATATACTTAGCACTACTGTAGGCTCAGAAATGGTTAAAATGGTGAATTCTATGTTTTTTTTAATCACAATTTTAAAAAATTACCTGGAAAAATGAAAATATAAAATGTTATTTTATCAAAAAGGATGGAGTAGAAAAAAGTCATTCACATGAGACAAAGTACATGCAATACTTTATTTTAGACATGCAAGAAAAGCTATTTTAGAATCTGCTAATTTAAAGCAAGCAGCTGTATACAGATGCCCCTACCGCTGCCCCCCTCCAAAGCGCAACATTTTGTTACAGCTTAGCACACAGCATCCAGAACAAACAGGCATGAGACAATGCATATTTATGCAACATTAAAGTCAGATGAACAACATGTAGGGTGGGAAGATGGGAATAAATGGAAATGAAAGACCAATGTTTTGTGACACTTCATATGGTAATGGAGATAGTCAATTTAGACAGCTGCCTAATACTACATTCCCTAAAATATTTTCACAGATCTTTCAGTGGGAAACAGGTTTCGGTATTTTTTGGCATATTTAATTTTTGTCTTTTGAGACAAGGACTCCCTAGGTAACATAGTAGCTCATCTTTCTCTTGCCTCAGCTTCCCAAGTGCTAGGACGACAGGCATGCAATACTATGTCTCTGAAATTATTAAGGACAATTCACTTAGGCTTTAAACTCTCTAGATATAAACAAAAAGTTACCTGGTACTTTTTACAATAAAATATGCTAAGTGTCATTAAAAGCACATTTATGTAAAATTAGTGTTAAAAGGTTTTAGTATTCTAAAACATAAGACCATAGTTAATACAGCATTGAGTGTTTTGAAGGCTTAATATATTGATTAGGAAGCCGTTAACTAATAAAAATGTTTGGATATTGAAAATGAATGATCAGAATTTTCATATTATATAAGTGGGCTCAGTATTACTGTTTCAAAAGAGTTCTTACCAAGCAACACACATTTCAGCTTTCTGATAGTTTTTAAAAGGATTGTTTGACAGTGCATAAATATTGGCACTACAAAATTTCTTGAAAATTCAATGTTTTAACCTTAGGTCTTCCATAATTGTAATTGACTTTTTTTCTTATATTGCTTCAACACACACTTTCATGTGGTACAGTTGAACATATTAGCTCATACAGACTGTAAGATAATCTTAGTGTTAAATAAAGCTTGGTTTTCTTCAGCAATGAACTAAATACTGTGGTGCTGCTAATTTTGCCTGAATTTCTTACAGTATTTTCTTTGGTAAACATTTATGATAGCCTAGCCTTTCTGTTATACTCTCATAAGATTAATCACGGATGGTTTACTAATGATAACTTGCACATGTTTAGGATATTAATCAAAATATTCACTAGTCATATTTTCCTCAAAAAGAGACAGGAATAGACAGAAATAAACAATATATTAATATCACATACAGAATGAAAATAAAATTAGGAATGTGTACAGAAAAAAATACAATCATAAAGGTACTAGGTCTAAGATGCTTTTTATCTTTTTACAGGAGAATTAGTCACCAAGCTGAGGACATTTTCTTTCATAAGTATATCAGTTCTCTATTTCCTCTGTGAAATTCTGCATAGTCGATGAGCAGTCATTTAGTACACAGGGACATTAAAATATTCATGCCGTGGCTACAAAAGAAATGCATATATTTTTACACACAGTATACAAGCTGATGAAGACACAATCAAAATTTGAGATTGTTTAGTTCACAGTAAAGTTATCTAAAGCATCAGGTTTGCTTTTATTCTTTGGTTTTTGCCTGAACATTTACGTTCTTAAAAATGCCCAGTTCAGATTTGTACATTTCAAGTTCGTGGTATGGAACAGTAAACAAGATGACCTACATTCCACAGAATCTTAAAGCCCTGCATTTACTACTAATCTGAAACAAGTTCAGTTAGAATTCTCCCTATTCACCAGTGTGCTACATTCATTATGGTCCTATTACAATAAGGAGAGATCCCAGAGAAAAAGCTCCCCCATGAACAAGTAGTCACTATATGGTATTGTTAAGTACCTAGGAAAGCTTTTAATTGTTGCCTTAGCTAAAAAAAAATGTGACTTTGAGGCTGAAGATTATGTTTAAGTCCTAAAAATTATTCTAAGGAATTCCCCAAATTTGTTAAATGTCTGTACCTACAAATATATCTAACAAGATGTTAGATATTCTCACATCAAAAAGTGACAAAATAACCCAAGGTGGTGTCTTAAGGAACTTCCAACATCCCAGATGAATTTTAAAGTTTTAACTCTAAACTATTAGGCTGTAAAAGCTTCCCCCTTCCAATTTAGAATAGTGTAACGCTAAAACAAGCAAGTAAAATAAAATAATGCCCAATAGATCATTTCCTTATAGAAGCTTTCATTCTCACAGGGAAAGTCTAATTCTATACTAATAGCATTACTAATGTATTAAAAATACTTTGTCAGTGACTCTCATCAGTATTTCAGTAATCCCAATTATGGGTTATTTTAGGAGAAATATTCCTACAAAGCATCAATTTAATAAAATAATAGGGACTATCCATTGGAATCTAATTACAATTAACTTTCCAAATAATGCCAAAATACAAATAATAAACTTGACAAAATTTTAATTAAAACTGAATTCATATAGCCTACTACATTTTTGATGCATGTCTGTACTCCAGCACGTATTCTAGTATGCTTTCTTATACCCAATGAAACTCTTGCTGTGATACATATTCTCTGTTTTCTGGAGAGAGAACAAGAAAAGTTTAAGTCTCAAATAACCTTATACTTCAATACCAGTTCTTTGTCTTATGTTATAGTTTTTAAACTTCTTGATTTCTCAGTTTGATATAATTTCATATGAAAACCAACCACGAAAAGGTTTCTGCCCATTGAACGAGAAAGGTGGTTTTCCAACAGGGCTGAATATAATACATTAAAATAAAACAATAAAATAAAAAATATAATAAAATGTAGTCATTCCTTCCTGAGGAGACTTACAAGGACAAAAATTCTATATGAACAATTTTGAAATGTGGCCACCCCAGGCATTGCCATCGCTTTTAACTAACATTTTTTTTTTTAAACTACTCTTTGCGAAGCAAAAGGTTGATAATAAGCCAAATTATTCTTTAATGCCAAAGGTCCATATTATTGTATTTAAACAAATTAGTACCCACCAATTGTCAAGAATAGTCTTCAAAGAAGAAACCCCTTTATTGGAAAAGCATCCTTCAAAAAAAAAAAGCCTCTAAAATGCACAAAAATAAATTGTAGTATTATATAGTAAATGGTACCCTTTAATCACTTTTAGGGTACTAGGAAATGTTCAGTTCAGATTGTTAACATCTGAAGAAGTTCCTCTATAGATAAATGCCTTAATGGCTACTTAACATTTAAAGCTGGGCTTTTAGGTAAAACATTTAACTATGTCTGTAATTCAACATAAACTTCACTATTCTGGACCCTCATACTACCTGTGCATTTTGAGTAGAGCCCATGCAGCTAGGTCTACTATTTTGTTCTTTCCGTGGGCACCTTTGGAAAGAGTCACATATATATAACTGAGCAAACTGCATTTATGAATATACTAAAATGCCAGCGATTTAAATTAAATAAGAATAAAGGCTAGAAAAGTACTGAGAAAAAAATGTAACCCAGTTACATTATATAAATATAAACCACTAATTTTCCTTAGTGCAGATTCTTTGTCACAATTTGTTTTTCTGAATAGCGATTACAAATGCACTTTTCAACTTGAAATAGGCCTTCACTTTTGGGCAATCCATTCAGCACTATGTTTTCTTTATTGAATCTGTTGTCAAGCCCTATACTTAGCTTGTTATCTCCTCTTCTCAGTTTCCAACAGTTCTCCTCTAGATGTCATTTTTCCAAATCTAAGAAAAGAAGAACTTTCTCAATTTTGCATCTAGCTCACGAGGGCAAAAGATTTCCAGCTTTACTCCACAAGTACCTTATAACAAAGGAGACATTTCTTGCCTAAAACCAGTGCTTTTTTTTTTATTCCATCCCTACCCCACCCCCTTCAATACAGCATACTTTCCCCTTTTTTCCTTAAGGTCCCCACTCTTTGCATCAGCTCCTTCCCAGTATATATGCTTTTTCAACTTTCCTCTGCACTAAGAATCATTTCATTCTCAAGCTATAAAAAGGACCAGATATATACAGTAGGGCAAGAATCACTTTTGATCGTTTTCAAAACCACCTGTCTCCTTAAGAAAAGGCAACCCCTACTATCATGAAATTTCCTAGCTATTCACTCACCATGCTAAGCTTACAACATGGCTCACAGGTAAAACTAAAGGGAAAGCTGAAACCATTCTAAACTAGCAATTGCATTGGCTTAAGCACTGTTAACTGAGAGATGCTTAACCAAGCTAATGGTGTTAGATATTCAAGACTGAACGGCTACTCTCCTGATTCTAGCTGAATGTGGCAAAAGAGAAGATAAGTTATATTTAATTAAAAGCAAATATAAGGAAGTGTGATTTCAAGTTTATCACCTTACTGAAATTTCTAAAGGAGTTTCTTCCCATACTCCTTGTATATACTTGTCTCATGTTTTATAACACAATGGTCCTTTTTTTATTGACCCTAACTGAATTCTGAAGCATACAGATTTCTTATGCTCAGCATGGAAATTCTATTCTTTGGGTTAAAGCTCTAAAGGGCCAAACAATATGGCAAGTTCACTTAGATCTAATTTGTGCAATGAATTTTTTTAAAAATAAAAGTGAAAAGCTTATAAGATACCTTTTAGATGATAGGGCAACATGGTATAGTCCTATTTTATGAACATTTATAAATAAATAAAACTTTCTACTGAATCTTTCTTTCTTTGGAATTGCATTTTTAATTATTGCTGTCATTTTAATTATATGTAGGCATATCTCTCTGCATGTGAGTATGTACATGAATGCAAGTGCTTGCAGAAGCCAGAGATGTCAGATTCTTCTGGGGCTGGAATGACAGTTGTGAGCCACTTGATGTGGGTATTGGGGATTGAACCCAGGGCCTCTGGATGAACAGCAAGTACGCTTAAGCACTGAGCTATCTCTCCAGCCCCCTACTGATTTTCTTTAACATTAAGTTAGTAATGAGTAGCAAGAGCTTTATGGCAGTTCCAGATGGTTGATGTATAATATGGACAAAAGCTGAAAGTACTTTACTCTGTGTGATGAAACTTTATTTTTAGCAAATTCTACTCAGGCCTTTATCATCTGTGGCAAGACAATGTGAACTCATTCAAACAGCAGCATTCCTCCATCAAGAAATGTGTAATGTTAACTACACACTTGTTTTCCTCTTCTGAAAAACAGGACGAGGAGCTTTATAAGAGGCAATATCCTACTCCTTGATCATTTGTCATTTCATATATCTTGAGTATCTTTCCATATCATATACAGAAGTTAAGTCTTATTTATTTAACAGTTATGTTAACAATTGCAGGTATGACTGTAATTCTCTTCACTTGTTTCCCACTAATGAACATTTGGATAAATCCAATGGCTAAATACTATGCTGAGCCTATGTCTTGGTGCATATACATACATACATACATACATTTCTCAGTTGGATAAAATTCTTAAATGTGCAACTAATGGAACAAAAATATAGTACATGTGTCATCATGAAATAGATACCACAAAACTATTCCTTCAAAATGAAATACAAGTTTAAGTGTTTATAAACAGTAACAAGAACATCTCTTTTTGTTGCAAAAAATTTTTTTTAAATAGGATTAGTTGGTGTTTTAATTTGTATTGTCTTAGTAAAGACTGTTTTTTGTTTTTACATCCCTGACTTAGTCATGTCCTCTGCTCTTTCCTACTGGGCTACTCATCTATTTCTATTATTTTTGTCTTAAAAATAAGTATAGTAACTTTTTGTATTATATCTTGTAAATGCTACTCTAAAACCTGTTAATTATAAGATGCTAAGGACAAATTACTGTCTCTGGCATCTTATTATACTTTTTAAATAAAACAGGAAAATTAGCTTAGAGTAAAGAGATATTTTAACCTTATTCTAGAGTAGGTGTATTTGGCTTTAAATATCCTAAATTTAATCAGTTTTCTAAACAAACGATTTCTTAGAATCAGAATTTCAAACAAACACTTCAAAACTAACAGAGTAAGGAAGAACAAAAAGTCTATAACAATAGGAAGTCTGTATATGTAAATTCTGGTCACTTTATTCTTCCTTTAAGAAATGATCACATCCTAAAGTGGATAAGGAAATCAGCAGAAAATTCAATAGTGTTCTGCCTGCCTGCAGGGTAGATTCTATCTTACTTCCACATAAAAACTCAATTACCTTAATAGAAGTGAACAGATCTAGTTGTTGAGGAAATTAGATTATTCAGTGACATCCCATAAGCTTTTCTGTGGGTTAGGTTCTAAAGGTACCCATAGATTATCTCCCCAGTTGCTACTTGCAAGGCAAAGGAAATTTGTATGAAATCATGGGGGTAGTTTTTTTTATAGCCATTTCCGCATTCTTTAACATATGCACTTTTCACAATTTTAAAGTGAATTTTTCTACTCCTTTGCATTTCTGACTAATTTTCAGTCATTATTTATATGAATACTACAACCTATTAAAAAGATTTAACAGTTTATAAATGGAAATGAAA